CCCCAAAACCCCAAAACCCCAAAACCCCAAAACCCCGAAATATATTAATAAAATGGATCAATAGTGGTAAATTTAAAATAATAAATATGCTTCAGAAGACTATCAATAAAGAGAACTTTAATAACTCAAACCTCCCCAATTCTGGCTTGTCAACTACCGATAAATCAGCGAGAAATTCTGGATTGCAACTTCAGCTCAAACAAAGAGCTTTGCAGGAAAATTACAGAAAGAGGTATGATTCATTTTTATTTCTAGTATTATTACAAGGAAATAATTACTCGTCAGCTCACAGCATAGATACATCTTTGGAGAGGAAACCTACTAAGAAAATGCAGCTTCGTTCTCAGGGTCGAAGCTCACAAATACCTCTCAGGAAGGCTAAGTCAGCGCTATCCTCCAAACCGAAAAGGGAGGTTCCTAAAAGAATCTCAAGAATGAGTATAATCATTACTTACGTTTAGAGAGTGCAGGCTCAAACGATAATTCAGGATTTACTACCAATAATAAATCCTTGATGTCCCAGTTGAGTTTCAAAAAGGTGAAAGTTTCAAAGAAAATGCTTAGAGAAAGCCTCAAGACCACCAATCAGTGAAGGAAGAAAACCGACAAAAAGAAAGGTCTACATTATCACCTGAAAACCAACAAAACAGCCTTGTCGATGTCCCGGACTTACATCAAGAAGAGACAATAGTACTATTGTTAATTTAAATTTTAGCGAGAAAGTTCAGAAATATTATGTATCTCATGTTTCTTACTACCAAGGGCACAGGAAGGTCAGAAGGGGATATAGAAGATCCCAGCTACAGTAAGGTCAAACTTCTTAACAAATCTAGTTTACTAAATTACCACCTCAACTCTGAAGAGCATGGTAAGAAATAAATTGTCAGATCCGAGTCCGTTTACTAATAAAAGAGTGGTTTCCCCAAATACTGTTCCAAAAGGAGAAATCATGACTGATAGTACTCCAGGAGTTCGCTCTAAGCCCATAGGAAGTGTTCTCAACATATCGATAGAGAATATAGACGAAGAATCGAAATTCGAGCTGAGCTCTGAGCAAGCCAAACCAGAAGAGACATCTGAGGAAGAAGTAGACCCAGAGGGCAATAAGTAAGAAATAGTTTAACCTGTAGGGAAAGGAAGGAAATCAAGCCTCTACATTCTTTTAATTCTCCCATGAAGCAGCCAAGGAACCTCTTCTGTAACTGTCCAATGGAGGAGGGTATTTCTTATGTTTGTACCTATGGATATAAGTGGATCAAGAGCTGATTTAAGAATTATGACTTCGACCAAAACCTTGAAGCTTACAATGCGCTAGTAGAGATTTCCAACAACAAAGAAATTGTAGATGAAGCAACAACTAGTCAAATTCAGAAGGATTTAGTCAGGACATTTCAGAAAATAGACATCTTTGTCACCGATGATATGAAGGATAAGCTCCTCAGAGTTCTTAAAGCCCTTGTTGCCTATGACCCATATTCAGGCTACACACAAGGAATCAACTTTATTACAGCAGCACTGGTGGTGCATTGAGAGGAAAGTGTCACATTTTGGCTGTGAACAGGTCTTTTTGAAAAATACGAAATCAGAGATCTTTATAGTAACCAATTCGAAGGAATGCATACCAGAATCGATCATTTCAAGGTCTATCTTCAGAAATATCTGCCTCAAATTCATGCGAAATTTGAGGAAGCGTGATTTCAGCCTGAAATCTATATGATGAACTGGATTCTAACGTTCATGTGCTCATATATCCCCCTGAAATGGCTGGTAAGGTTACACTATTAAAGTATAGACTAAATATTTTGATGAATTTTTCAAGCATGGCTGGGACTCCTTTCATGCAATATGCCTCTCAATCCATGATTTCTTGCAACCAACAATTTTAAAGTGAGAAGACATTGGTGAAATGAAGGATTGTGTTAATAAAATGAAGGAGAACCGAGACACAATTACTAAAGAATCCCATTTCTTCAAGAAAGCTGACATAGAGGGAAGCCAAGAGCCAGCAAGTTTTTTTACAAGCACCAGATCGAGTAGTGATTTTACCGCATTTCAGCGAACAAGGGATGAAGATTGGGAAGCAATTTTTGATTTTTATGAAACCTACATTGAACGCTTCGGAGATAAATAAATTAATGTCAAAATTGTATTTATTTTTGGGGTTTTGGGGTTTTGGGGTTTTGGGGTTTTGGGGTTTTGGGG